GAAAACCAAAACGTACTATCGCACCAACTATTTACAAACTGCAAATCTCCATTTTATAACTAGCTGAAATCTATTTCTGACATTTGTATTGCCGAAAATATTCTACGAAACGACAAGACGCACATGAACAGTGCAATAGATTTGGAGTATTTTAGATTTAAACGCAAGAGTTTTTAGATCCTTAGGGGAAATTTTGGATTAGTCAAAACGAAGAAAAGAGAAAAAGAAAAAATACAATTTTCGGTAGACGATGCCTCGACCCCCTTCAAAAGCGAAACCGTATCAATTGGAGGTGCCTTTGATTGGTCTAGGGGGAAAACCGATTATCCTAAAACAAGGTTTCAGGTCATACAAAGCACATAAGTTTTATATCCCTGAAACCGAGAATCTCATCAATCAGGCTAGTAAAGGGTTATTAATGGTCTCTTCTAGGTCCATCTGACTTTTATTATAAAATCTATAGAAGTGTTTTGTCCTTTATCCTGAGACGTAACTTTAGCCGCTACATAGTTCAAGTCATCAACAATCTTGCCCTCTGATATTACACTATGACAGCCCTTAGTGTAAGTCCTGTCACTAATAAATTTAATTAATGAATGATGAAAGGCTGGATTTTGTAACAATAATGATACTTGTTGTTGTTTTTTGTTATTAAACGTCGAATGCAATCTCCAAACTCGCCTGTTGTCTCCATCGTACCCATGGAATGGTACGCCATATCTATATCATTCCTTGCGACTAATAACAAATCTTCAATTAGAAAAAATACGACCTACCCTCGAGTATTGTATTTGCTTTCGTGAGTCCTTGTAAACGAATCGTAAGCGTGCAATCAGTAAATGAAAAAGGTGAAATAATCTTAACATTACACAAGATTAGAAAGAACATAAACATAATGAACACCCATTTCGAAGTTATTATNTTATTATGAATGAACTCCACTTATCATCGAAAATCTTTCATCGTATCAACTACTGAAGACGGCGTAAACACTCCACTGTTAAAATACATCCCTAGGACTGCGCTGGAATGAACCACTTTCATTCAATAAAATATCGACGAAAATCCTGAGTGCAGTATGGAAGAGTGAACAAGTCTCAAGTGAATGCATCAGTGCATCAGTCATCTTATCGATACAAAAGAACAGCGACTGATTCTCTTGTGAAAACCCTAGAGGGGTTAGTTCATTCAGCATTTTCTCAAAACTCCTCTCTAGTCGGCCGCATGTGAACGGCGCGCACATGAAAATTACGTTATTTTGAGGCCTGGCGAGACTGCGTCGACCGCATTTCCACTCTTCGTCAAACTGTTCTGTTTCAATTGGAGCTTGCATGACCATAAACCATGGAATTTCGTGTCATATTGATTGCTTTGGTGGTCACTCAAATGAAGGAGTAAAGAGAAAATTGGATAGTTGAAAGCACTGTTACGTCCAATGGAGAATTCAAATTGAGCAAGAATATTGAGTAGATATAACAATCATTGTCCTTAGAGATCGAGTGCGCTCATTCCGTGGTCCAAGTCAGAGAAGCCTAACGCAACCTATGGGGGCTACTCTTTCAATCAGGGTGTTCATATCTTCATACCATGTCTGAGTAAGACCACCCTTAATGTTTGTCACCGATTAACTGCCCCGAAAAACAACGAAAGCGATGGCAATGTATCTGGTGACATGCGTAACACAAGCTACAAACAAAGACGATAACGGAAAACAGAGATTTCTTTCGTAGATCCATGATTTCTGCCTTCCTTGGCATAAAGTGACCCTCAACTCCGTCTTGGCGCTCTTCATCAACTCAATAATCGGGCATATCGTAATGGATCACGCGTACCCTCCAATGCAACTCAAGGATCAAATGACGCAACAAAAAAGGTAATGTTGTGACCTGAGAATGCATAAAATCCGCAATCAAGACGGAATGACAACCCTCTACCATCACCCCGTCGTACTATTTCAAGGGTGAACCAGGCCGAACGCAGTTAGAACAAGAAAAAAGAATCCACGGAGAAGAACGGACACACGAACAGGTACAAGCGGAACACTGCCAATTCACAAGCACTGAAGTTATCACCTCGGCTTGTGAGGAATCGTTTGCAAGCAAAATGCCAAGCTCGGCGAACGGGCGAAATGGAACTTATTAATATTCTACATTCCTTGTATTGTTTTTTGCTTTTAGACTTCAGAAAGGATGCGTGACTCCAAGGTCCAGTTCATGCAACGTCCCCCTGATAGCTCGGATCTCTATGTGATTGATAATCTGTTTTCTGTTTCGAAGAAATAGGTCAATGTGCTACCTGTACATTGGACATTGGAGGCAAAAGTGCAATACGTAATGGAGCACAAAGTAGAAAATGTCTTCATGACAAAGTTGGTAGATTCGATGCCGAAGAGACTCGAAAAGTCCTAAAGAACAAAGGCAGATCAATCGAGTACTAGTGTAAACAAACTTTACATCTTACTTATTATCAATGTTAATTTGTTGTTGGTAAAAACTGTTCCATTCTCTTTAGTTACCTCTTAACTCATCATGGTCCAGGTCAACCACTGACAACGAAATGGGAGTAGCCGCTACATTTTGAACCATTCCATCTGCTGAGTATAAACGAATCAGAAAAATCACGTCTATACTAACCAAGGCTTGTTTATTATTATTTAGAAAAAAAATTTACTTCAAAGTAAATGCTGTTGTCTATACGAACCAACAAGTGTTTCACAGGGACCCGTTGCTTCAGTTTGGATTAGACCTGTATCTTTGATCTGCGAATATTTTCAGCAGTCTTATTTTTACTCATCCTTGGCAGGTATTTTTCCGTGCACCAACGCAGATAGTCGGCGATTGTGTCATTCGGCTATTTTCCTTAACAAAGTGTTGAAATCCATCTTTAGATCGCGTGAACCATGTGAGTTTGGTACTCACAGCACTCATTGTGTTAAATGTACCCTAACAAATCGTGAAAACCTCCTCCAAACAGTGGTTATATATAGTTGGCTGACTACACTCTATAAATCAGTTTTTAGTGTTCATGGCGTGCCTAGATCGGTTTTCAAAAGCAAATTTTCAATGTGTACATGAGCCCAGTGATGAGACAATATATAGACATGAGAAACTTAATTATCTCTACAATGTGTACACGAAAAATTACAGGAAAATTGGGGTGCGTTGGAAGCCTTTCGTGCCCTACTGTTTCCAAACTCACAGGGAATGTTTCAAATATCTCACTTTCTGGCAATGCGGCATGCTTAGTCATCTTTTGGTTTCAGCAGTAGAGCGAAGAACACACTTCGCGAGCCTGTCGTGCGCAATCATTGTTTATGCGAATGTGCTTCCATTTTATGTGCAGATGATGTAAAAGTTAGGGTCTTTTAGTGGGTAAATATTTCTACCGTTCATTGATACCAGTAAATAATCAAGCACAATAACGTGAAAAACCGAAATCACTGCTTGTTGAAATATTTGAAGTGAGAACACGCTAGTACTGATATATTCAACTGAAAAATCCAATTTCTTTTCAGGGTTTTCCACGATCGAGAAGTCAATTTTAGGCTAAGTCAATGCTGAAACGTTTGTTCAGTGGTGGACAATGACAGTGGTATTGACCTGTTTGGAAAGCTTCGACAGTGCTTACTTTTTTACCTTGTCGGCATTCGAACCGCAAACCTTTGGGTCTGAATCCGGAGCCCTCATTGCGGAACTATATGCCGCTCGCGAAAAGCCACTGATTGATTAAACCAGTCTTGTTTTGTCCAATTTGAATTCACAGATACTTGAGTTTTAACATAAATACACAAGCCCAGATTTGTGAGAATTTACATGAATTAAACACGATCATTTCCAACTTAAATTCACTCAGAAAATTCAAACATTTCTTATCAAGACAATAACTAGCTTGAATCAGTACATGTTTCAACTAATGCAGTCCAATAGATTAAAATTGTGTTCCTGGTCCTGACTTTGTTGTACATATGCACCATACGAACAAACCACGGTAAACATCTCCTAACCATCGACCGATTATCCAATTATTTAAATTAAGGATGTGGCTAGGTGGTCCAGTTTCACGTAGCTGTAAGAATCACGCACAATGTGAATGGTTTAGTCGACCTCACACTTGCGAGTACGTCAGCCGAGATGCATGGTGTACTGCGTGGGAACAGAACTTTTCTGAATGGTATTTCAGCTACAACTGGAGCGGTGAAGCGCCCCGGTTAATGGTTGTACAACCTGAGCGCAAAGAAACAGAATTACTAATACAGTGGGAGGTTGCACCGCGTCCGCACTGCAGTATTGTTACCATGGTTAGTGCTACTCCTTCAATCAGAGATGTTCTTTGTAGTTTTTTGTCGCTCATCGATCGATACACGCACAACACCAAATGCGCATGAACGAAATATATTTAACATCACTCGTTACGGATCGATGCGTGTACAAAATAAACATGCGTGCGTCTGACCTAACAAACACAAGGGAGATAATTTATTTAAAGTACGACAGTCGGTTAGTGTCGACAAAAATCGAAGAAATATATATTTTTTCAGATTTAATGACACCCATGAAATTGATGAATCACCCCACTCCCTCAGACGAATCGTACCACAGATGCACAATAAATGTCAGTTTATTTTAATCAACTGGATACTTCGTAGAGTAGAAAAAATAGCGAGTCGGACAGGCGTTTGAAATTGTGACAAGAAACAGGCACATAATGAGCAGCTGAACAGCAGAAAAGGTCAAAACATGATCGATTATCGTGTTGCGGACAGATATCACAGCTAATGATTAGTTATATGCTGGATTGACGCCCAGTGATATGAGATACATGTGGTTTTGTTCCATATGTATGCAATTAAAGCAAAGTAGGAGTCCGTATATCAAAATTCATACAATGAGCCAGTTATTCGGTAACGTTATACAAAAAACAAGCAAAAAAGACGGAAAAAGGCACAATTTTTGAAGGGTACACCAGCGGCTGTGGTAATGTTGGGTTTGAAAGCAGGAATATTAGAAATCGCCATCCGCATCCTCATGCGCGCACTCTCGGCGAGCAGCGGCCTCGTCAACATTGGTTTCGTCAATTGTGTTACGTGCGTAGTCCGGCTCACTCAGAATGTCTGCCATGTCTACCATGGGCAAAAGTCCGGATTGTTGACTCGGGTGACGCCAAGGCCTGAACTGTGGATCATGTTCAGCTTTCCATGCAGAATAGCGAATGGCTGCGCGATGCAGGGACTTCATGATAGACGGTGCAACAGAAGTGGCGACCAAATTTATCGCCCAGGAAGGGATATCACCTGAAGATAGACATATGCTATGTGTAACAAATTTGCTATAGGATCGTCTGTCATGAGAACGGAAAAACCCAGTATTTTATCATTTTATCATCATGTACTTCCATATTGGGTTTTTCGGCTACTAAGTCAAAGAACCATTAAAGAGTAAAACTAAACAGAAATCGGTACGCAAAAATGAGAATGCCGTTGAAGCAGATAAGTGTATTGGTTGAGTAAATGTACATGCTCCACTAGTTGCGATAAACAAACCACCCAATGTCTTTAATCAGTAATCAGACTGCTCAAGAGACGTTCAAACGGCAGGCCTGGCATCACATGCATGACCGATTCCACTGGTAAAGTTATAATTATTTTGAGCCAGATCATTGCCCGATCGCCTA